GGGCAGTGTGGGACCCTGCTCCTGATATTTTGGATTTTTTCTTTCTTTCAGTGGAGCCTTTATCTCCAAATCTCCAAACAAATGCGGTTGCACTTTGGAGCTGTTGTTTGTTTGCAGCTCTCGGGTTTATTTTTCTGGTGTTCACAGATCCTTCACCTCCCAAGCCCAGCCTTAAGCTCTGGCTGCTAAGGCAGGTAATCTCGGGGCTGGGATTTGGACAATCCCATTGAATAACTCCCCTTTGCAGCGACGCCAAGGGCTCGGGTGCAGGGCTTTGAGTGGGGCTGACTCGTCTTAGGCTTTTCTGAGCCCGCTGTGGGTTTCCTGCTCTGATCCCGGAGCTGGGGCCGGCAGGGGCTGGGCGATGAAACCGCTGGTGCTGAGCGGGCTCGGGGGCTGAGCCTGAGCCTCTCCTGCCCGCAGGTCCCACAGCACGGTCAGCCCTCCCTGCTGGGGATGCTGGGTGCCGTTGCTCGGGGTTACACGATGCCGAGCGCTGCTGGCGCAGGGGAGCAGGCAGCCAGCCCTGGGTGTAAAACGGGGGCTGCTGTGCCCCTGTTGTGTCACGTTCTGCGAGTGCTGTTTGACACTCAGAGGACTCCGAAACTGCTCTGCACGTTAGGTGCTTTCCCTGCGCCGAGGTGGGAGCCTCTCCTTCAGCCCGTTTCTCAGAGACAGCGAGAGCAGGCGCTGATCTCTGGCTCTGGGGGAGCTCTGCGGCTGGGGCTCTTTGAGAGCTCCCCAGTTCCCACATTTTTGGTGTAAATGAGGCGCTGCAGTTCGGAAAGCTGCCTGGGTAGGGCTTGCTCCTGTTCCTTCTCCCAAGGCTGGTACCTCTCCTCTTCCCAAAACACCATTTCCCGCTCGTAACTCAGGATTTTGTTTCCTCCTGTGAGCAGTGGGATGTCCCGTGTCGTTTCTGCCCCTCAGCACCGTTATCCTGCAGGCACAGCTGCTCTTGTTATTCCAGAAGTAGGTTTTCTTCTCCTGTCAGGAGTTTTATCTTCTGCTTTGAGATGAAATCACTGCCTAAGGTGCTCTTTGGGAGCGATCCTCTGTTTTCCTCCTCTGCTGCCTCTTCCCGGTTGGCTCAGGGAGTGGGGACTCCCTGGAGCGAGGGTTTGCAGCCCAGGGAGGGAATGTCCCCCACGGTCCCTGCCGTGCTTGCTGTGTCCTCACCCTCGGTGTCACAGCAGCCTCTGCCCCCGGCCCTGTTTGACCGGGGTTTGGATGGCACAGCCTCCTCCGCAGGCACCCTGGGAGGATGTTTGTCAAACCAGCTGCTCCCGGCTCCCCTGGTACCCTGCCTTGCTGTGGTTTGAGTGAACATCTTATCAGCCTCATCTCCTGCTCCGTGCAGAGCTCTCGCTCGCTGACAAACACCGAGGTGAAGTTTTTCTTGAAAATCGCAGCTTTCTCCCCGCACTGCCCCGTGCCCTACAAAGGCTTCCTCCAGCTGCTCCCTCCCTCGCTCCGGGTTTCTATCTTTGGCTCCTCTGTGAGGTGGAGGGGAGGCAGTAAAATCTTGCAAGCAAACAGCTGAAACCCAAGATTTTCTTCTGCAATCTAAGAAAAACAGTTTCACTGGAGGAGCAGGTACCAGGCATGTACTGCTGCACTGCAGGGCCCAGCTCGGTGCCCAGGTCACAGCTCTGTGCCGGGGGCACAGCTCCAGTGTGTTCCAGTGTCCAGCTCTCCCTCTGCAGTGAGGATCTCCCAAAGCTCCTGTCCTGTCCCTCAGGATGAGCTGGAGGAGGCAGAAAGCTGAGGTGGAGCTCAGAGCAGTTGATGATTCTCCTTTCTGAGGATCTCACCTTGAAAACAGCTCTGGGTAGGATTCCTTTGCTTTAAACCCAATGAAGTGATTTTTCCATCTGCTGCAGCATCAGCCCAAGCTCCTGCTTCCTTCAGCCTCATCAGGCTTCTTGTTCTGGTTCCTTCAGTGCCCAAAGCTCTCGGGTGCTGAGCCACGTCCTGGCACCAACCCACGTGAGGCATCCGTGTCCCTCCACCGACTGCCACTGTCCCCAAACCCGGGCAGTGCGTTCAGCACTGCTCCCGAGGGCCCAGGGCTTTGTTTTCCCTCTCGTGTTTCCTGCCGGGATGCTCAGCCCCAGAACAATGGGGCAGGAAAGGGCGTTGTCCCGGCCCGAGGGTACCCGCGGGCTCCCCGGTGCCGGTGGAGCTGCGGGATCCCCTCTGGAGAGGTCCTTGGCAGGTCCTTTCCGCCCCGAGGAGATCTCGGCTGTTCTCTGGCCCTGCTCTCCTGGCTTTTGGAGCTTTTCCTGCCTGGGGCGTGGAGCCCCCAGGCTCCTGGGCTTTGCTCTGAGGAGAGGTGTCCTGCAGGGGGGTCTGATCCTCTTCACTCCTTCATTTTGGCTCTTTGAGCTCTTCCCCGTGGTCCTGGGCTCCAGTGCTGCAGAGGCAGCTCAGAGGAGTCCTTTGGGTGATGGAGATGGGGCTCGGGTGGACCTTAACCCAAGAGAAAGGATTTTCCTTGCTGGAAGGGCAGCTCTGTGTCCTGTCCCAGCCATGCCAGAGCTGCTGGTGTCACCTTGGCAGCTGAGGGACCTTCTGCTCCTGGGTGGGAGCAGATCCTGAGCAGCAGGAAAGCTCTGGAAGGGAAAGGTCCCAGGGCCCTGGAGGCAAGTGGGGAACCCCAGCGGGTCCCAGCTGAGTGGAAAGTCCTTGCCAGGGAGCTGTGATGCCCCAAGGCTTTCCCGTGACCTCTGGTGGCTTCACAGCTCAGCAGAAAAAGATGTTTTTTGTTGATAATTCTTTTTCATACTATTTTTTTTTTCCTTTTTACAAACTTTTTGCCTCAAGTAGGACAAGGGAAAATCTAAAACCACTGGTCAGCAGGTTCCCACTTCCCACCAAAGGGTAAATGTTTGCTAGGTTGGTGTTAATTAACAGAAATATTTAATTTGTCTGTTCACCTTTGTGTCCCACAGAGATGAATGAAGCCTCTTAACTAAGCAATCCTGGATGGAAATTCCCCAAGGGTCTGGCACCCATGCAAGGACTATTTCACAGATAATCTTAGGATGCTTCCCAAGTTGAGCTTTGGTGTGCTGGGCCTCCTCTCACTCACTTTAATTAGTAGCTTTTAAGAAAATAATTGGTTAGAAATTTATTATAATAATTAATAATAAAAAAATTTAAAAATAAATAATTTATAATAATTAATTCTTATAAATTGCCCTTTTGGACACTCACACCTTCAGAGAAGATGGGTTTTACCCTGCATTTTCCAAACCCTTGACCTCAGCACTTGTTTTTCTTGGTGTTCTCAAGATGCTTAACAGGGCTCCTGAAAGTCAGATTGCGTCCTCCAGAGCCGTCCCTGGCCCTCATCGTGCTCAGCGTGGGTGGTGAGGAGGGGACAGCAGAAAAAGTCACAAGGTTTCTGCTCCGTTGTGGTGGCCGAAGCGAGGCCTTTCCCACGGGAAATGCTTCCATAAGCACTGCCCTGGGAGAGGAGGCTCAGGCTCCTGTGTGGTCCGTGGCACAGCAGGAGAAAGCCGCCCGGAGAGCGCGTTCTGTGGTTTGAAAGTGGCAGCAATATCTTGGGTGGTTTTATTTCACATTCCCTGCCTGTTGTGCGCCAGGACACGCGGGAAGGGATGCTGGGGCTGCTGCGGGCTGAGCAGCCCGTTCCCCAGTGAGGACTGAGCTGGTTTTTGAGCTGGCTGTTTCAAGGGTGTCTGTGAGTCACTCTGGGCTCTTACTCACTGCCTTTCTCCTGCCACCAGCCTGGCCGAGGTGCTGGGCTCGGTTTCTGCGCTCGCTCGCGGCACCGCGGCGCTCCTGGCACCGGGCACAGGTAAAGGCTCTGCTGCAGAGCCCACTTCAGGCTCTGGAGAGGGGAGGAGCCCAGGAGCCCCTCTGGGGTGAGGGGAGCACAGGCACTGGGCAGGTCGGTGGTTCTTGAGTGTTTTCTGTCACCTCTGGGGAGCTGCTGGTGGCTTCTCCCTGGGGCAGGGCTGGAGGTGGTTCCCTGCGCTCCCAGGGAGCTCCAGCAGCCAGGCTCAGCTTCCCAGGAGCTCCAGCAGCCAGGCTCAGCTTTCCTGAGCCCTGCCAGGGAGCTGCTGGCAGTGCAGGGTGGGGAGAGGTGGCCGTGCTGGGGACACGGGGCAGGGAGGGCTCTGGAGCCTCTGCCAGGTCACGGTGGCTCCAGGACGGGGGTGGATGGGGCTGTGATGGGCACGGCCACTGCTGGGTGCTGGCCCTAAATGCTGGCCAAATGTGCAAAGAATTGAGTGTTTTAGGGTATCTCTGAGTATGTGTGGCATGGGTGCTGTCCAGGGTGAGTGATGGGCACGGCCACTGCTGGGTGCTGGCCCTAAATGCTGGCCAAATGTGCAAAGAATTGAGTGTTTTAGGGTCTCTGAGTATGTGTGGCATTTGTGCTGTCCAGGGTGGAAGCAAGGGCTGCCTTGCAGGTGGTTTTGTAGCACTGGCAGCTTTTACTTCTTCTTACTCGATTATTTTTGTGAATTTTTGTGAATCTTCTAAGCAAGAGGCAAAGAATGTGTGGGATGGACCCATCTCTGTGCCTTGGGAGAAGGGGACGCCTGCCCCAGGGTCCCTCTGGGCTGCAGGGGAGGAGGGAAGGGGCACCTCTGATTGCTCAGGCCAGGAACATCCCCGTTACTGCTCCTGGTGTCCCAGACACGGATGTGGATTGGTGGGATAAAACCTTCCTGGGCAGCACAGGCTCTGCAGCCAAGGCTCAGGTGGCAGCAGAGGTGGGCTGTGACAGGGCTGCAGGCACAATTTCACAATGTCCCCGTGGGCTGGGCTCACGTGCCCTCGGTGTTTTCCACCATTGCCAGAAGGGCACGTGGACCTTTCCTTGGTGGCTGTGTGGCAGCTCGGGGACGGCTCTGCAGCCTTCCCTGCCACCTGGGGTGGGTTTGTGACCGTGGCCAGGGAACACTGGAGCCATCAAGGGCAACCCTTTATTAACTCTCCTCCTTCTTTCCCCTTCAATGCAGGAGATGAGTTAAAATGCAGCACACCACGTGCACGGAGGACAGGATCTACCACGCGCTGGAGAGGTGTCTGCACGGGCTGAGCAGGGGCGCTGTGGCCAGCAGATGGGCTGGTAGGTGACCTTAGACCATGGCCTTCCCTCTGGGCTGCCCTGAGCCCTGCTGGGTGTCTCTCCCAAGGCTCTCTCTGGGTTAGAGGGAGCTGCTGGTGCTGCTGGAGCCCCTTCCCCCTGCAGTGGTCAGAGGCAGCATCCAGCCTGGCCAGTCCTCCTGGGCGTTCTGCTGGAATGGGAGGTGTTCCAGGACCCTGAACAGGTCACGGCAGGTGTGGCCTGTGTGAGGACTCAGCAGGGCAGTGGTGCGGGTGCCAGCTGTCCCTGAGTGAGCCGGGGAGAGGAGAGGGCTTGGTTCACCCAGGCAGGCTCCTTTGTGCACTCAGCCAGCCCTGCCCCGGTGCTCTGCCCCCGAGGCAGGCTGTGATGCTGCTGCATGGGCACACTCAGCACGGGGATGCTGTTATCAGCCCAGCCCCGGCTCAGATACCATAAAGAGCTGAGCCTTGTTCAGGGGCTGTGAAGGGATTGGTGAGGGCAGAGCAGCAACGAGCAGAAATCATTTGAGTGCTGTTTTGACCTTTCTGCCTCGTAGCTGCGTCTGTGAGCTGTGATTAAATCACTGCCAAACCCTCTTGCGGATGAAAGATTCTGTCAGATTCTGATTCCTTCTTGTCTGTGCAGTTCTTTCAACCCTTTCTGCTTTTCTTTTCCCCTGCAAGACCAACAAAGAGATGAGACAGGATCCTACCTGCTGCCATCTCCCAGAGGAATCCCTCTGCCCTCCCTCACAGCCACTGGAGCCGTGCTGTAACACCACCTGGGGGCTCGGTTGGGGCAGTTCTGCCCAGGATTCCCGTGCCCTTTCCTTTCCCCTGCTCTGGGAAGCAGGCCCTGAAGTGTGACCCACATTCCCGGTTCCTGGAAGCGCGGCCTCGTGCTTGGCACGGTGACAGTGCGTGGCCAGAGCAGGTCACTGCGTGCCCAGAGCCCACCTCGGCTGCAATTACCATCAATCAGTTCCTGTGTCACTCACAGCTCCAGTCCCAGCCCTCAGCGCTGCTCCTTGCCTGGGGAGGCTTTAAACCACGGCGGCATCATTTCTGCAGCTCGTTAGCAAAGATTGGGTGTGCAGGGCAGGGCTGGGGGCTGGGCTGGGGGAGCCGTGCTGAGCCCCCCTGAGTCCCACCCCAGTGATGTCCCCTGCTCCCAGGCCCCTTCCTGTGGCTCTGCTGGGCTTTGGCAGGAGCTGACATTCCTGGGAGAATTTGGGGTGTTTTGCACCTCAGAAATCTCCCTCTCATCATTCTTGCTCTGCCAGGGATCTGCAGCGTGCCCTGGCTTTGCTGTGCCCTGGCTTTGCTGTGCCCCAGCCCCGCTGCTGCTGCTGGGGACCCCCAGGACCCCCCAGAGCCCTCCCGAGGGGCTGCCCCTCCTTGTCCTTGCCCCTCCTTGTCCCTGCTGTCCTTGTCCCTGCTGTCCCCGTCCCCGCTTGCAGGGCTGGGAAGGGTCGGGTCTCTGGTGGCAGGAGGGGTTCAGGGAAAGCAGAGCTGTCCCCTGCTGCCCTTCAGAGCCATGGCAGAGATGTTGTCACATCCTTCCCCAAGCTACAAGTGACAGTTTCATTATTGCTGTCCTGTCCACGCTGTTGTTTGTGGCAGGGTTGATCCTCACAAGTCAGTGAATCCTTTCATCTTGCTCTTGGCTGGGCTGGAGCCTTCACCTTCCTCATTTTTCACTTCTATTTCCCAGTTCCTTTGCTTTCCCCTCTTTTTTTACCCTTTCCATACACCAAAATAACACACACCACATCACAGCTTTTTGGCTGAGACCTTGCTGAATTTTGGAAATCATCTAAAGCTTTATTTTTCTGTGCTAACTTTCACACAAGGCTGCTCCAGAGAGGGTGAGTAATCATTTCCAACACATTACTCCCCCTGAGTAAGGGATGAGGAGCTGAGGGCTGTGAAGTCAGCAAGAGGAGTTGTGAGGGTTTGGCCATCCCAGATTTACAGCCTGGATGAGCCTGTGGCGAGTGTAAACAGGAGATCTTTCTGCAGAACTTATTGCAGAAACCAAATCAAAATGAATTGTCTGTGACTCATAAAAATCCCCGTTAGAAAAGTGCTTGGGAGGAAAAACTTTTCCTTGTGGACGAACCTCTTCAGGGCAGCCCTTGCTTTGTGCTGCAAAAGGAGAGAGACCGTGGCCAAATTAGAGTGTGAAGAGCAAGAAAAATGTCTTATTGCTTGCTGGTGAGCAGGAAAAAAAAAAAAAAAAGAAAAAAAAGGAGTTTTTGGTGAAGCAGAGCCCTGGGCTTGGCTCTGGTGGGGCTGGGGACCTGGCAGATTTCACCCTTTGAGCTGACTCCTCCTGGCTCGTGCTGGGTTTTCCTGTGGAAGTCTCTGCCCACGCTGGGTGGCAGTGCCAGGAGGTGCCCTGTGCCACATCCACGTCCACCTCCCGTGCCTCAGCAGCTGCAGGTTGGCTTGCTGCCCTCCCCAAGGGGGCTGTGGCTGCCAGCTTGGGCCGTGCCTGTCCTTGGGCACCTTCTGACCCAGCTGCCCCGAGCTGGCCCTTCCTTGGGGCAGTCCCCAGGAGAAACCACCTCCCTCTGGCGAGGAGATGGCAGCACCTCTGGGGAGGAGGAAACGGAGTCTTCTGCTTTCCATCACCCCGTGGGTGTCACTTCTGACGCCACCAGGGGCCGTGGGCGAGGGCAGCTCGGGGGGTTCCTGCTTCAGTGCTTCTTGATTTCCGAGTGCCAGTTGCCCACTCTGAGGGGAAATGCCACCTCCGAGGCCAGGAAGGAGCAGATCTGGGAGGCGGAGGAGGAAGAGGGCATCTTGGGGCACTTCTCAGAAAAGCAATGGCAAAGCCTTATCCTTCCGAGGCCGCCCACGGTGCTGCCGTGTGCCGTGCCCGCTGCTGGCACCTCTGGTGCTGCCGGCGACCAAAGCCCAGCCCAGGCTCCCTGAGCAGCCCCTGCCCAGCCACTGCTGCTGCTCAGGGGCTTTTGGGGTTCTTCTGCCCCAGGGAGAATTTCCCTGGGCTCTGCAGAGGCTTTGCCCTCCCACCAGGAGGGTTTTCTTTGGCTCACTGTCGTGCTGGGTTTAGTCCAGTCACGCTCTGTGCAGTGCTGGGATAAGCCCAGCTTAGTCCTGCCTTTGCCCCAGCTTAGTCCTGCCTTTGCCCCAGCCCCAGCTGGGGACAGGGTGTGCCCTGGGCTGCCTGTGTTACTGGCTGAGGCCGGGAGTGACCATGGGGCTCTGAGAGTGACCATAGCTCTGAGAGTGACCGTGGGGCCATGAGTGACCACAGGGCTATGAGTGACCATGGCTCTGAGAGTGACCGTGGGGCCATGAGTGACCATGGCTCTGGGAGTGACTATGAGGCCAGGAGTGACCGCGGGGCCAGGAGTGACCGTGGTGCCCCTGTCCCCTCAGCCGGGCTGTGCCTGAACTGCTGGAGCCTGCAGGAGCTGGTGAGCCGCGACGCTGGGAACTACCTCATCCTGGTGGAGAAGATCCTGGGCAAGACCAAGGAGGTGAGTGGGGGCTGGCAGGGGAGCCGCGGGCTCCGAGGCATCGGCAGCTCCGTGCCTCGCTCAGGATGGGCTTTGGCAAAGCTGGCTGGGGGGTTTGGGGTCACTGGATACTGCTGGGGGCTGGGTGGGGCTGGGTCAGCAGGTCCAGAGCTCTGGTGGCACCGGTGCTGTGTCCCACGAGGAAGAGCCCATCCCCGTTGTTGGGGCAGCCCTGCAGGTCCCCAGGGATGTGCTGTGATCCCCAAAGCCCTGCTTGGTGCTCTGCAGCTCCTCCAGCCTTCCCCAGCCCTTCCCTGGCAGTGTCCAAGGCAGAGCAATTGGAACATTTCCTGCTGTTCCTGGTGGAGCCCTCGCTGTGGCTGTGCCGAGTGTCCTGCGGGACACGGGACCATGGGCAGGATCTGCCCTGCACTGCCCGGTGCCAGCGGGGTCACAGCCAGGGGACAATGGCATGGACCTGCCTGCCCCGTCGTGTGCCAGGGCAGCTCGAGGCATCCCTGCTCAGGCAGGGTCATCCTGGGAGGAGCCCCTTGATGTGGCAGGAAACGGGGGGTGTTCCCTAAATCCCCCGCGCTGGGATTCCTGTGAGGGGTAAAACCTCTTCCCTTGTGAGGGCAGGAGGCTGTGGGGCTGAGAGCAGTCCAGGTCAGTCATGGTTCTGTTCTGTTGGTGGCTGGAACTGCTCTGGCTGCAGAGTGGCCTGGTGCAGGAGGGTTTAGGCGAGGCTTTATTGCACTGTGGGCTGTGCGAGCGACTCCTTGAGCCCTCAGGGAGAGAGTTCTGCTGGCTGTTCCCCGGAGTAAAGCTGGGATTCCACCTCACCCCGGGATTCCACCCCCCCGGGATATCACACCCCTGGGATATCACACCCCCCGGATTCCCCCGTCCTGCCCAGCTCCCCCGGCTGCCTGCAGTGGCTGGGCTGCCTGCTCAGAGCCACTTCCATGGGATTTCAGGCATCAGGAGCCCCAAAGTGTTGGGGGCCTGGCCAGACCTGGGAGAAGACAGAGCAGGAGGTTCTGCCTGTCCCGCTCTGGTTTCTGGGGCTTTGGGGGAGGTTTTCCCACAGGGATGGGGGGAATCTCCTGGGATGGTGGGGCCGGGGTCTCCCGGCACCTCCAGGGATATTTTGGGCGGTGCTCCCGGCCAGCAGCTCATCCCTGTGCCCTCGGGCTGTTCCCACAGGTGCAGGAGAGGTGTGACTATGACCTGGTGACGCCCCTGGCCCTGCTCTTCTACTCGGCGGTGCTCTATGTAAGTGCTGGGGCTGCACCGGTCCCAGCTCCAAAATCAAGGTGGCTTGGGCTGGAACTTCCCTGCTGCTCTCATCAGTTCCTCCCAAAAAGAAAGATTCTGTATGAATCCAGAGGGATCAGGATCGAGCAACCATTGCACAAGATGAGAGACAAAGAAATGAGCTTCAGGGGTTTGAAGCTATTTTTTTAAGCCTGGGCTAATCAGAAAGGGAGATGGACAATAAAGGGGAATTCTTTTCTTTACTCTTTATAGCTGGGCAAAATACACGGGCAGCGTGAATGAAAAGGAGCAGAGCCTTCCCAGGAAATACTTTTTTTATTATTATTATTCCCAGCACAATGCATCATTATCCCAAGGAAGTCATTGCTGCCAGGTTCTGCACAAGCAGGCTGCGTGGAATTCATCTGTGCGCCTTGTGGGGCTTAAAAAGGAATTTATATTTAGGCTTGGGCACGTGAACCCTGCTTGGGGAGGTTGGGAAGGAGCTCCTTGGAGCTGTGCCCGGGGGATCCCGTGGCCCTGCCTTGGGAGGAGATGGGGTGGCACAGGGGGACTCAGCTTTGCTTCCCCCCTGCCGCTGCCAGCCCACAGCCTGGAGTTCTCACCAGCCCTCGGGGTCTCTGCTCCCCTCCCCTCTGTCCCTGTCCCCGCAGGCTCCTCACCTCCCCCCCGGCTCTGAGCTGCTGCTGAGAGCTGCCAGTGTCTACCACAGCTTCCTGACGTGGCCCGTGCCCTACTGCAACACCTTCCGGGAGCTGCTCACCTTCATCAGCAACGAGCTCAAGGCGCCAGGTGAGTGCCCCGGCACCGAACCGGGCTCTGACAGCACCAAACCTGGCCCTGGCAGCTCCAAACCCGGCACCAAACGCTGCCCTGGCAGCTCCAAACCCAGCACCAAACGCTGCCCTGGCAGCTCCAAACCCAGCACCAAACCCAGCCCTGCCCTGACACCAGAGCCAGCCCTGCCCTGGGGTCTGTGCCCCTACTGCCCCTGTCTCAGCCCCCCCTCACTTCCCGAGCCTGGGAGTGCAGTGTCCATCCCAGGGGTCAGCTGTCCCAGGGGTCAGGACCCTGCTCCCCCCGAGGATGGCATTCCCTGGTGGTCCAGCACAAGGTGGGAGCGGGTTCCTCTGCAGCAGCAGGGCAGCCTGGTGGTTCTGTGGGTCCCCTGTGTGCCAGGAGCATGCCAGGCTCCCCCAGCCGTGCATCAGAGGCAATTAGCCACATGGCTGACGATTTCCTGGCTGGCTTTCAGTCCGGAGGGTCTTTTTCCCACAGAGCACGTGCTGGCTGCTCCCCCAGGCTGCCCTTTGTGTGAGGGACACTGGGGGGACAGCAGTGGGGCCATCCATGGGCATCGGGGTGGCTGGAGCCTCCGAGCCTGCTCTTCCATGGAGATTTCCACAGGGCTGAGGCACTCCCTGGATTGTTCTTTCCTGCCCAGACACCCCTTGTGACCAGCTCTGGGCACAGGCATGGCCAGCACCAGTGCTCCTCTTAATTAAGGGCTCCTTGTGGATGTCCTGTGGTTCCCAGTGGAGCAGCTCTTCCAATTATTGCTCAAAGCCTTTTTGCCTGATCTCGCTGCCTTTTGGGGGCTTTTGAAGAGCTGTTATCACACAGAGCACATTGCAGGCTGTGTTTAATCCTGGGCAGGGTTTGGGAGGTCTGGGGGGGGATGTGCCTGTGGCTGGGGGTGTTCCCCACCCCCTCAGGCTGGGAAGGTGCTCTGGGGGATGGGAAGTGCAGGATCTCTGTCAGGGCAGCAGTTCCTGTGAGATGGGAACTTGGGGATGGGGTGAAAGATGCTTTCAAAGGATCAAAAGGATGGAAAAATCCCAACCTGAGCTCTGGACTGGCTGCTTTACCCCAGCACCACTGGCGATGGCCACCAGGCAGGTCTGGCTGTGTCCAGCCTCCTCTCAGAGCTGCAGGGACATGGGGACACTCGTGGGGCTCCCCAGCTCCCTCCTGGTGGTTTCCTGCCATGCCCTGGCCAGGGCTGTGCTTTGCACACCTCAGTGAGGGTCTGTCCCTCTTCCAAGCTGTGCCAGGCTTACTCCACATCCCCCTGACCTGCTGGGGGACCAAGGCCAAAGCCTTTTATTGCGATGAGGGCAAAGATTAACAGAGAATGAGCCGCTGTCAATATTTGCCAGGAGCACAACAGCTTTGATCTGCGCCCTGGGGCTGATGCCTCTGCAGGAGGGTCGGTGCTGTGTGACCTGAGGGGGTCAGCGGGACCCCGTGGGTCCTGGGTGTCCCCCCATGGGTCCCCGTGGCTGCTGGGCTGGGGGATGTGGCTCCCTGCAGGGACAACGGCTGGATTCTGCTGGTCCATAAGGGTTTCCTGTCCTGCTGATGGGGTGACAGGGCTCTGCTGATGTCACCCGCTGTCCTGGGGACAGTCCCAGGGGGCACCCAGGCTGTGGCTGCCCACAGCAGCCTCGCTCCTGCCTCAGTCTGGGCTCTGTCCCTGCAGGAGGGGAGGTGGCAGTGACCTGCTGGCCCTGGGTGACAGCCAGGGCCTGGGGGCTGGAGCAGGCGGGAGCAGGTGGCAAAGGTCATCCTGGAGCTCCTGTCCCGCAGGAACAAGAGGGCAGCAGGAGCTGGGGCTGGAGCAGGCGGGAGCAGCTGGCAAAGGTCATTCTGGAGCTCCTGTCCCGCAGGAGCAGGGGGCAGCAGCAGCTGGGGCTGCAGCAGGCAGGAGCAGGTGGCAAAGGTCATCCTGGAGCTCCTGTCCCACAGGAACAAGAGGGCAGCAGCAGCTGGGGCTGGAGCAGCTCTCCAGGTCTCCTGCCCCCTCCTGTGGGTGATCTCCCATCGCTCTGGGTTTTACCCTTCACACCCTGGGTTCCCTGCTCCTGGACTGGCCTCAGGCAGTGGCTGTGCCTTGTCCCCATGAGGACTCTGGTGCTGCTGTTTCTGCTCCAGGCACGGGCTCTGCCGGCTCAGGAGAGCCCTGGGGGCAGAGGTTCTGTGCCTCATTGCTCTGCTCTCTCCCAGGGATCACCTTCCAGAGGCTGGTGAGGACCGAGCAGGGGCTGCCTGTGAAGAACTACCAGAGCTCCACGGTGTAAGTGTGGCCGTGGGCACTGCTGGGGCTCCCGGTGGCATCCCCTCAGGCTGGCACTGCTGCAGCATCTCCCAGGGGCTGGGAAACTGGGCTGAGCTGTGGGAGGGGTGAGGAGAGCACCTGGGGCATTTCCAGAGCCTGGGACAGGGTCTGTGTGCTCCCTGCCAGTGACCCTGCAGGGCTGCAGACGTGGGGAGGGCAAAATCTCCTCCCCCGGGAGCCGCACATGTTGGAGAACAGCTGGGATCCGTGATTTTGGGAGCCACCGCCCCAAAGGGAGCCAGAAGGGAGTCCTGTCCCAGCCCCCGGGCAGCTCTGAGCAGGCAGACTCTGCACCTTATTCAGGGCTGAGCCTTTCCCTGCCGTCCTCATTTGCAAAGAGGGAAATGAGGCTGGGGACGGACCTGGGCCGTCCTTAGAGCTTCTCCTCAGAGCTGCACCTTCAGGAGGGAGATGTTCGGGCTCCCTCGTGTCCCGTGGGGCCCAGTGGTGCCTGGGCTGGGCTGGCTAGGGCTGGGCTGGCACTGAGCTGGGGATGGGCTGGGCTGGGCTGGGCCAGGCTGAGCTGGGCCGGGCCGGGCTGAGCGCTGTCCCTGTCCCCAGGACGGTGCTGCTGCTGAACCGCTCGGAGGTGCCCAGCGAGTTCCTGTCCATCGCCCGCAGGCTGAGCGCCAGCGAGCCCCCCCAGCACTCCACGCTGCTGCTGCTCCTCGAGCACCTCTACCAGGCCACCTTTGGCACCCGCTGCGACCTGGCCGGGCTGCACCAGCTGCTCAAGGTGGGCAGGGGCAGTGCCCACCCAGGGCTGCACCAGCTGCTCAAGGTGGGCAGGGGCAGTGCCCACCCTGGGCTGTCGCGGGAGCAGCTCCCTGCAGGCTCTGCTGCATTTCCTACCCAAAGCACCACTGGCTTGGCAAAGAGTTTGGGTAATGCTTCTTGGAGGAAAAATGCACGTTTTCCCCTTCTCAGGTTAGACGTGAGGTCTGAAGGGTTTGTGACGTGTGTGCCGAGGGCTCTCTGCCCTTTTACCCTGCCACTCCTTTCCCATGCCAAAGTAGAGAGAGGAAGGACCCCCAGATTTGAAAATCAGCAAAAGTGTTTGACCAGAGAAACACTTGAGGGAGAGGCAAAACGAAGTCATGAAGAAAACCCCTGGGGAGTTTTCAAAGTCGTTTTTATTTCCATTAGAAAAGTTTGGGGGGACTTGAGGGGGGCGGGGCAGTGGAGGGGGGAGAGCCCCCCGTTAGTGACGCTGCTGAGTGGAGGGACCCCCTGAACGTGTCTCCGGCTCTGCTCCGCAGTCCAAGCCCCTGGAGGAGCTCTCGGAGCTCTACGCCAGCGCTGCCGATGCTCAGGAGGCGGCGGCCGCCAGCCCCGACCCCGCGCTGGCCCGGGAGCGGCTCCAGGCCGTGCTGCGCGACATCGCCGGGGCCGCCTCCTTCCCTGCCATCACAGGTGAGCATCCCGCACCCCTCCCTCTCTTCCCCGGGGCTTTCTGCCGGTTCAGCCCCTGCAGCAGCAGCGGGGAGTGGCTTTGCAGTCTCAGCCGAGTGCAACGACTGCAATAAAAAAGCAGCAACCCAGGTCCTGTTTAATAACCACACCTGAGCCACAAATGGTTTCATTTAAACAGCAACCAAATGAGCTGTCCAGCCTCTGAACAACTGAGGGGTGAGATGAAAGCACTAAATCAGAAACCGGTGCTAGCTGTGACACCTGGTGGCTGTGGCGCTGTGAAGTGTCCCCTTGTCCTGGAGCTGAGGACAGCAGCGCCGGGGCTCAGCGTGCCCTGGGCTGGCCAAAACACGCAGGGGGTGGGTGGCACCTCCCAGGCCAGGAGAGCTGGCCCTGGGGGACCCTGCAAAGCAGCTGCTGTCGCTCCTCTCTCCGCAGGCGAGGCCCAGCCCCGCAAGCTGCACCCCTTCCCCATCCCCCCCGCCCGCTGCTACACCTACAGCTGGGACCAGGACAACTTCGGTGAGTCAGGGGCCTGGGCTGAGCTCTCAGCTGGGCCCCGGAGCAGCTTTGGAGAAGTAGAAGGTTCCCCTTGTGCTGAGCTGGTGCTTCCCCATTCCTGGAAGGCCCTTGTGTGTTCCTGGGAAGGCTCCGTGCTCTTCCCTGCTGGCCCCAGCTCTGGGCCAGGCCCTGCAGCGAAGGCCAGCTCTGACTGGGAGCCAGGGTGGGTCAGGTGGGGTGTGATCAGCCAAAGGCTTGGCTTTGCTCCAGTTAAACCTGGATCAGACGTGGGGATGTGGGGAGAGCTGGGTGGGAAGGAAGCAAAAACCCAGCTGGAGTTTGCCTCTTGAGAACCCAGCCAGAACCTCAAGGAGAGAAACACAGTTTTCTTTGCATTCCATCCGAGCCTTATGTGGAAATGAAAAACCATTGGGGAGGAGGTTTCCAGCTCCTTGCTTGACACCAGGATGGGGGAGAGCTTTGGCCATCAGGAGTGGCAGCAGTGTCTGGGGTCACCAGGTTTGCAGCGGCTCTGCTGGAGCCCGTGGCAGACACCTCGTCCCTCTGGCTGCTTTCAGACATCCTCAACGATGTCCTCAGCAAGGAGTGCAGCATTGCTGAGCCCCTGGCCTCGGAGAACGAGGAGGAGGACGAGGAGGAAGAGGAGGAGGAGGAGGATGTGGAGACGGACGGCGGCTCCCCGGAGCAGGACTCGCTGCTGGCCCCGCTCTGCGCCATCCCCGGTGACGCCGTGTACTCCGTGCTGGCCGAGGAGGGCTCCAAGCCCTCGCGGGTGTCCCTCTTCGCCTCCTCCAAGGAGTCCATCTCGGAGCTGACCGTGGTCTCCAGGAAGTCCCTGAAGTCCTTCGTGTCCAGCCTGAAGGACTGCATGGACAGCGGCTACGCCGAGGACAGCGACGAGAGCTCCCTGGACACGGCGGGCCGGCCGGAGCTGCCCAAGCAGCGCCAGTCGCTGACCAACCGGCTCTACAAGCTGCTCAAGAGCAAGAGCCAGCAGCTGGTGCAGCGCCGGGACTGCCCGGGGCCGTGCTCGCTGCCGCTGCGGCGCGCCGAGAGCCTGTGCGCGTCCCCGGCGCAGCCGCGCGTCCCCGCGCGCTCCCGCCGCGCGCTCTCGCTGCCGCAGCACGGCCCGGGCCAGCGCGGGCCGGCCCCGCTCGCCCCCGGGGCCCTGGGGCTGCCCCGCCGCCCCTTCCTCAGCTGCGACGAGGAGGCCAAGGCGGGCACGCTGCGCGTGGTGGTGTTCGGCTCCGACCGCATCTCGGGCAAGGTGGCCCGCGCCTACAGCCGCCTCAGGTGAGCCGCGGGTGAGCCCGCAGGTGAGCGGGGCCCGGTGCCCGCCCTGCCCGGCCCTCCGCTCAGCCGCCTCTGCCCCTGCCCAGGCTCCAGGAGAGCTCCTGCCCCTCCCTGACACGCTACTTCAGGCTGCAGTTCTTCTACGTGCCCGTCAAGAGGAGCTGCGTGGCTCCATCGACCCCGCAGATGCTTCATCATCATCATCATCATCATCATCATCATCATCCCCCCCCGGGGGACCCCCCGCCCCGGGCACAGGTGGGTGTGTCCTCCCACGGTGTCCCAGAAGGTGGGGCAGGCTGTGGGGCCCTCGGGGTGACCCCCATGTCCGGTCTTGTGGTTGTGTTCGAGGGTCCCAGGATGAGGAAAGAGATGAGAATCTTGACTCCGTGTTTCAGAAGGCTGATTTATTATATTATGATATTGTACTATATTAAAATGCTATGCTAAAACTATATTAAAAAAGAATAGAGAGGAGAGGATCCATCAGAGGCTAGAAAGGAAAGAAAAGGAATGATAACAAAATCTTGTGACTGCTCACAGCCTTGACACAGGTGGCTGTCATTGGTCATCGAGTAAAAACAATGTCACATGCTGGGTAAACAATGTTCCAAATCACATTCCAAAGCAGCAAAACATGGAGAAGCTGAAGCTTCCCAGCTTCTCAGAAGAAAAGACCCTGGCAAAAGGATTTTTCATAAAATATGTCTGTGACACGGTCTCAGGAGCCCTCCCTGGCGGGGACAGAGAGCAGCACCAACGACATCTCCCACTACCTCGGCCTGCTGGACCCCTGGTACGAGCGCAACGTCCTGGGGCTGATGAACCTGCCCATGGGCGTCCTGTGCCAGGTGCGTGTGTGCCACGGGCAGGGCAGGGCGTGCCCCTTCCCCAGGGAGCTGCCTGGAGACCCTTCTGCTGTGCCACATGGACACGGGATGGAGGAGGGGCTCCCGGTGGTCAGCAGGAGGGTCTTGTCCCCAGCGGGTGGGTGGGCAGGTGTGGCTGGAGGTGCCACCTACCCCATCACCTTTCTGAGCCATTCTGCCTCCCCAGTGTGCCAAGCCCGAGGCTGAGCCCCAGGAGGACGCCCAGGAGCAGCTGCCCATCCTGGCAGACATGATCCTCTACTACTGCCGCTTCGCCACGCGCCCTGTGCTGCTGCAGCTCTACCAGACCGAGGTGGGCAGAGGGAAAGCAGGGGTGCCTCTGCCTGTGGCACCAGCCAGGAGCTGCCTGTGAAGCCCCGGGGTGTGGCACAGCCACCCTGTGCTGCTGAGGCAGAGCTCGGGTCCCCTCTGCTCCCCTGGGTGGCCGTGGTGCCCTGGCTGATGCTCCTGGCCCGGGACTGAGAGCAGCTCCTGCCCTGACCACCAAGTCCCACGAGCAGTTTTCCACCCCAGTGCGTTTCCTCACGCACAAAGCAGTGCCTGGCAGTGCTGCCAGCTTTTCCACATTGCTGGAATCTCTCCAGAGCTCTGCTTCCCAAAGCAAACCCCTCCCGGAGGCGACTTTTCCACACCCCGCTGTGCCTGGGGCGGGCGTGGTGGGGAAGGCTGAATTTGGGGCTGCAGCCCCTGCTTTGGGGCTATGCCTGGGGACCAAACAGGGCTTGGTGAGCAGAGCCACACGGGATTTGTGCTCCCAAAGCAGTTCCCAGACCCTGCTGTTGGCTCATTGGGGGTCTTTCCCAGTGGAGTTCTGAGTGAAAAGGAGGGGTTTGGGTTGGTTTGGGGATCTGCTCAGTCTGAAGTGCAGCTAAAGGCAGGCACCACCCCAGGCTGCTGAAAGGTGCTTTGAGAACACGGAAGGATTTTCCCCAAGTGGCCCATTTCCCAAGGACTGAGAGGGGTGGAGGCTGCCTGGCCAGGCTGGGTCCCCTCACCCCCACGTGTCCCCTCTTGTCCCCCTGGCAGCTCACCTTCATCGGGGGGGAGAAGAGGACCGAGGTCTTCATCCACTCCCTGGAGCTGGGGCACTCAGCAGCCACGAGGGCCATCAAGGCCTCAGGTGTGTGGCTGCTCCTGCACCCCCACCCACCCTGGGGGTCTGGGAAGGGAAGGGAAGGGAAGGGAAGGGAAGGGAAGGGAAGGGAAGGGAAGGGAAGGGAAGGGAAGGGAAGGGAAGGAGGGGCTGGGGAGCCTGGGCTGCAGGAGATCTCTGAGCAAGGATCCAGACAGCTCTTCATGCTTTGGGAGAGAAACATCCCACTTTTGTATTTCCTCCGGGAGTGGAACCATGGCAAGGCCTGATTGTTTGTGCTGCTCTGAACTCGAGAATGGATTTACAGTAAAACACCTCCAAGCACGTTTCCTTGCTCCCATCAGCACCTGCCAAATGCAGCTCTTTATCTTTCCTTGTTACTGCTTGCTCTCTGTGCTTTGTCCAGAGGTGTCATTGATAAAATCCCTCTTTTCATCTCCTTGTTTTACTGGTCAAAGCCAGGTTTGTGTGTGTGCTTGGAGCCTTCCGGGTGTCATTTTTTGTGCCTTTATGTTATGAATTTGTAACGTTAGTGGTGTTAAGAGAGCAGAAGCAGCGGCAGGGACATCTGGCTGCAGTTCCTCGGGCACCCAGCCCGGCTGCTGTGCTGGAGTGCAGCTCACACACACAGCTCACAGCCAGCCCCCAGCCCTACCCCTGAGCGCGCTCCTCATGGCTTTAACCAGTGGCTTTGGTTTTATCTCCAAAGCAGAGCCCACAGAATTCCCCCACGGCTTTAACCAGCTGCCTTGGTGTGAGCTCTGCTCGTCCTGGAAAGCAGAGCCCATAGAATTTCCCTTATGCAGTGTGCCCCCCCTGCTCCCCAAAACCAGCCTTGGGCAGAGAGCTCTTCCCCCAGAACAGCCAGTGCTGGACCCCATGTTTCCCCTTGGCTTGTCTGGCACTGCTTCACAGCTGCAAAAAATCATCCAGGGGGGCAAAGAGCAGTTAGAAAGTGTCAGGGCCAGTGTTTCAGCTAATGTAAGGGGCAGAAATCTGCCTGAGCAAACAGGAGCTGGCTGTGTGTTCTCCCTGAGCTCTGACCCCCCTGCGCCGGCTCAGCCAGGGCCACTTTCAGTTCTGCAGAGTGGTTTTGTGTTGTGATTCCTCTCTGGATTCTCTGCTTTCTGCCCTTTTTGCCCCACAGCTGTGCTCAGCAAGGCCTTTTCCCCTTTCTGCAGTCCTGGGAGTGCTGCTGTACCAGCAGCCAGGGAAGGCTGGCGATGAAAAGCCCTCGTGTGATTTTTTTTTTTCTCTTGTTTCCTGCAGGTCCAGGCAGCAAAAGGCTGGGAATAGATGGAGACAGGGAAGCAATCCCACTGACACTACAGATTGCATACAGCAAGGTCTGTGCTGGCACTGCTGGGGCATCTCCAGAGCTGGGGACAGCTCTGGGACTCTCATGGCAAGGACATGGAGGGGCTGGAGCATGTCCAGGGAAGGGAACAGAGCTGGGAAGGGGCTGGAGCCCCAGGAGAGGCTGAGGGAGCTGGGAAGGGGCTCAGCCTGGAGAAAAGGAGGCTCAGGGGGGACCTTGTGGCTCTGCACAACTCCTGCCAGGAGGGGACAGCCAGGGGGGGTGTCAGGCTCTGCTCCCAGGGAACAGGGACAGGAGGAGAGTGAACGGCCTCGAGCTGCACCACGGGGAGTTTAGATTGGATATTCTCTAATATTTCTTCACTGAAAGGACCTTCCAGCCCTGGCACAGCTGTGCAGGGCAGTGGTGGAGTCACCATCCCTGGGGATGCTTAAAAGATGTGGGGTTGGTTCTTGAGGACTTGGCAGGGTTAGATTTAGGGCTGGATGTGACCTGGAAGCTTTTCCAAGCTGAACAGTTGTGTGCTTCTCTCCGCTGGGCTCTGGCTGCTCCCTGCAGACTGCTGCCAGTGGCAGGAGTCACTGGAACGACGTGGAGAAGGTCTGCACGTCTGTCAACCTCAGCAAGGCCTGCAGGAGGCACGAGGAGCTCGGTGGGTCCAGGGGGCTGTGCCAGGGGGGTGGGGGCGCTGGGGGAGCCAGGGAACCGTGTGGATCTCCTGGCTGGGGAGTGAGGCAGGTGAGAGTGCAGGAGACACGAGGCAGTCCCTGGTGTTCCCTCAGCTGTGCTGTAGGCCTTGGGGGTGTGCCAATCCTCAGCACCACCTCAGGGACAAAGGACATGTAATGTCCCACTGTCCCAAGGCTTCCAGCTGGACAAACATCCACTAGGGATGGGGCTGGGATGGCTCAAGCACAGGATGGTCACTGGAGAGTGATGCTCTCCACAGCAACACTTAGCAAGGAGGAGCAGCAGGTAGAACTCTGCAGGTGAAGCAGGGCCAGGCGCTCGTCCTGCATCCACAGCAGCCTTCCCTCAGCACGCCCTCCTGAGCTGCTGCTGCAGCCTGGTTCCCTTCCTGCAGCTCAGACACAGCTCCCAGCCACCTGGCTTGGCCTCAGGAGCCTTTGTTCTCATCAGGTTTCCAACTAATCAAGTTCTGAGCCTTGAAAGGCTCCAAGGTTCTGGGTCCGCTTGGCCTCAGGAGCCTTTGTTCTCATCAGGTTTCCTACTAACCAAGCTCTGAGCCTTTGAAAGGCTCCAAGGCTCTGGGTCTGTGCTGCTTTTGGTTGGCTCTTGTTTAAGAGCTGCTGGTGTGGCCATCAGACACGTCCAGTTCTGAGACAGCTGAGGGGGTTTAGGTCCTTTTTCCTCGTGTGCCTGGTGCCTGGCAGGTGTTTGTCAGCAGGACACTCAGGGGAGTGGATGTTGTGCCAAACAGGAGACATCCCTCATGCTCCGTGGAGCTCCCCACTGTCCCTCCCCATCCATGCAGCCAGTCCTGGGAGAAAAGCGCCAGGAATGGGTTTCTCATCCCCTCTGAGCGCTGCGTTGGATGTTCCTGCTCTAGTTCAGGGCTTGCATCAGGGTGCCCTCAGCTGCTCCCTGCGGAGAACCTCTCCGTCCTTCCGAGAGGAGCCCGATCCCCCGGCCCCGGAGGTTTTCCCGTTCCGCAGTTTGGCCACGGGATGTCACTGTAATTCCAGGCACTGGAGGCGTCTCCGGGTGGGCTCAGGAGAGGCCACGGGGGGAGACTTTCCTCACAGCGATGGGCAGTGGATTTTCTCCTGTTTGCAGCCCAGGGTGGTTAAATGTTCTCTCCCGCTGTGTCTGGAAAGCAGCTGGAGTTGCAGAGGACATTCAGCAGGAGGGGGGGGAAAGCTGGGACTGCAGATCCTGCTGGAGCTCCAGCTCTGGGATGCTCTGGGCAGTGCAGGGTTCCCAGCAGAGCCCCAGGCCATGGCAGCTTCCTTCTGTTGCAGCCTCGAAGACAGAATGTCTCAACCTAACCATGACAGAGGTGGTCAAGAGGCAGAACTCCAAATCCAAGAAAAGCTTCAATCAGGTAACTGCAGCCCTGGAGCTTTTACATTTGGGGAGGTGGGAGGGGAGCAGGGCTGCAGGGAGCAGCTCCTTGGGACATCCCTTTGCTGCTGCCCCCAGCTCCCCTGCCCAGCCCAGGCAGCAGCTCCCTCCCTCACTCCAGCCTTTCCTCTCAGCAGATCAGCGTGTCCCAGATCAAAGTGGACAAGGTGCAGATCATCGGGGTCCAGTCCTCCTTCGCCGTGTGCCTGGACCAGGATGAGCAGAAGATCCTGCAGAGTGTGACCAGGTGGGAGCTGCAGCCAGAGCTGCTGGGATGGGGCCATGACCCATCCAGCCAACCCCAGGCTCTGAGCTCGGCTTGGGTGGATGCTCCTGCTCAGATCCCTCAGCCCTGTTCCTGCTGGGCTTTCAGCCCCATTCCTGCTGGGTTCTCAACCCCATTCCTGCTGGGTTCTCAGCCCTGTTCCCATTCCTGCTGGGTTCTCAGCCCTGTTCCCATTCCTGCTGGGTTCTCAGCCCCATTCCCACTGCCCCACTGGGTTCTCAGCCCTGTTCCCATTCCTGCTGGGTTCTAAGCCCCATTCCCATTCCCGCTGGGTTCTCAGCCCCCTTCCTGCTGCCCCTGAGGGTTCTCAGGCCCCGCCTCACTCAGAGGTGGTTTCCTGCTGTTGCCCTGCAGGTGTGAGATCTCCGTGTGCTACAAGCCCAGGGACTGTGACCCCCTGGCACCGAGGGGATCCCCTGTGGCTCCCCAGGACCCCTCCGAGTTCCAGTCCCTGCTGTGTTTGCCCATTGCCACCTTCAGTGGGGCACTGCCGTAGAGGAGCTGCGTCCCTCCAGACCAGACTGTCCCACACCAGTCCAGGCTCAGGAGAAGGAAGAGGACACCCAGCCCTGCTTGTCTCCTGCAGCTGGAGAGTCCCTGTGGCTGCTGTGGGGGCTGAGCTGCTCCTGCTCCAGGCCCAGCCCCTGCTCAGGAATGGGATCGTTGTGCTCTGCTGCCTCTGGGGGCTCCTCAGAAGGTGCTTCCTCTCCTGGGGCTCAGCAGATGCTAACACCTGGTGGGAGGGGAGGGCCAGGACAGGGATATTCCCTGCCAGGAAACGGTGCAGGTGGGGTGTGGGGAAGGGTGAGCTCGTGGGGGTATTTGGGAGAAGGATTGTCCTGGGCTCAGCGTGTCAGGTGTCTGTCAGTGCGTGGGATTACAGACCCCGTGGTGCTGCTGAAATGCCAGCCCGTGGCCTGGTGGTATTCCACCCGTGACAGGTCGAGGATGCTCGGGACAGTTTTCTGGGATGGGGACAGGTTTCTCAAGGTTTCCCTTCCCTTCTGGAGGTCAGGTGTGCTGCAGGGAAGCAGAGCAGGGATCCTGCAGTGTGAGCTGTATGTGCCTTGGGGAATTGGGTGCAACAGGCCACACCAGGGCAAGGACAGCTGCTGGTGGATCCGTGTATTTCCTGTGCACCCAGGAGAGGAATTCCCAATTCCTGCGGGGTTCCAGCACTGAGCTGTACTCCCAGTCCAGCCCCTGGTCGTGCATCCTGCTCCCAGCATTGTGTGCCAGAGCCAGCCCAGGGCTGAACCCTCAGTAGCTGCTGGAAATCCATCAGGAGCTGTGCTGGACTCCCAGCAGGGAGGGAAGGACTGGGGAAAGCACCAGGATTGCCTCAGGACCACTGCAGAGTGACATTTGCTGGAGAGGGACCCAGCTCCAAACCCACCTGCAAGTGACACCTGCAAGTGACAGCAGGATATGAGATCCACCCCCACCCCAAACATTCCAACCTCTTCCCCCTCTCTGCAAGGCTGTAGGTACAGAAAAGTGCAATATTTGAGGATGTTTAGGGGTAATCTGACCCTATGAGCAAAGACATAAGACTGGAAAAGCCTCGGGCTGTTTCTGGGTGTTTTTTTGGGGATTGTAGCCCTGCTAGCAGCACAAGAGCTCATTGCTGGCTCAAAGGAGCTTGGTCCCAGTGTTCTGTGTTCCCTGGATGGGTCTGGACAGGGACCCCTGGGGCTGCAGGGCTCAGCCACAGTGGGGTCAGTCCAGGGGGTCCCCTGATCCTGCAGGAACCTGGTGAGCTCTTGGCACTGTCCCCAGGCCTGGTGGCACAGCAGCAGTGTCACTTGAGGTTCAGCCTGCCAGGGCAAGGGCCAGAGCTCCTGGGGCTCAGGTGTCTCAGAGGGGGGGTCAGTTTGTCTGCTGGATCCCCCCATCCCTGCTGGGACCCCTCCTGTGCCCCTGGCTCTGCTCCCTGCTCTGCTGGACACCTCCTGTCCCACTGTGCCATTGCTGGGCCCAGGGCTGAGCCCCGAGGTCCCCAAAGGGTTTTCTCTCTGACTTTGCCTTCCCCAAGCAGGTTTGAGGTGTGTTCTCTCCAGTGGGGCTGGAATTTGGCAGGTGGCTGTTCCTGTTCAGGGCTTTAGAGCAGCACCTTGTCCTGTCAAACACTGATCTTGGGATCCTGGGAGCCGTGGCCAAGTCCGTGCCAGGACAGAAATCCCTCTGGGTTCAGCTGGCCCTGCAGCAATCCTGGAGAAGAGAATTCCCATCCCACAGAGAAAACCAAGCCCAGACTCCGGGGACTCATACTCCTGGTGAAGCTTCTGACCTCTGATGCTTTCTGGAAATGAGAGAATTCCAGGGTTCTTCAGGATGGTTTTTGTACATTTGTGTAGCCTCAGCAAATCTGTGTAAAGTCTGTGCTGATCTGTAAAATACTGTGCAGAGAACTTTGAAAGTAATTGTAAAATATTAAAAGTTGATTTATTTCCAGTACAGGAGCAGTATTTGGGTCAAGGAATTCCTGGGTGGGTGGGAGGCAGGGGAGGAGGCTCCAGGTCTCCTCAGAGGAGCTGACCTGGGAGCAGGAAAAGGCTCAGTCATTGGCAAAGACAATTCCAGGACCCACCACAGTACCAGGATTTTTCTTTCAGGTGCTCCAAAGTGTCCTGCTCACAGGTGAGTGACCAGGGATTAACCTACAGGTAGAACCTGCACAGTCTTTATCAGTTAAATGGTGTTTTCCACCCTCACAGGACATCCTGAAATGCTGCTCAGACTTGAATATTCGATGGTTTATTAATTCCATCTTTTTATCCCCTTAGTATGATTTTTTTTCAAGAAAAAAAAAAAAAAAGGTGTGTTGGAGATGAGTCAGTTTAGAGAAATGAAAAAGGCAACTTCAATGGCACCACAGTCAGCTTGGCTTTCCCTTTCCCCAGATCCCCTCATCTTCTATATTTGCTGGAGCTGGACTAGAAATAGAACTGGGCTGAGGCCAGGGTAGGAAATAGAGCCACAGCATCAGAAGTGTTTAGTTTGAGACCTGTTCCTTTCCCAAGTGTGGAAATCACGGGGGCTGGGCTGGGGGTGCCTGCCAGGGCAGCTTTCCCTGCAGGAGGCAGTGGGGCTCGGGCAGCTCCTTGCCTTGGCCAAAGCCCTCTGCTGCCCTCGGGTGCCCCTCAGCTCCGCTGCCAAAGCAGCCTCGGGAGGATGGAGAGGGGAAAGCAAAGTGCTCCTGGACAGCACAGCAGGGAGCGGCCCGGGCTGCCCTGGCAGTGCCCGAAATAGGAACACAACGTCGGAGGAGGAGGAGGAGGAGGAGAACAGCCCCGGCCCCTCTCGCTGCTCCCCTGGCACTGCCCCCCAGGCACTGCTGCTGCCCCCCTGGCACAGCCACAGCTGCTCTGGGCACCTGTGCCAGGGCCTGCCCACCCTCCCAGAGAACAATTCCTAATTTCCAATCTCCCATTCATCCCTGCCCTCTGGCAGTGGGAGCCATTCCCTGTGTCCTGTCCCCCATCCCTTGTCCCCAGTCCCTCTGCAGCTCTCCTGGAGCCCCTCCAGGCCCTGGCAGGGCTCTGAGCTCTCCCTGGAGCTTCTCCTCTCCAGGTGAGCCCCCCCAGCTCTCCCAGCCTGGCTCCAGCAGAGGGGCTCCAGCTCTCAGAGTATCAGGAGATCACTTCAGGAGACATTTTTTCAACGTAAAGAAGATTTCAACTGCTTCAAAACCTCCTGCCCATGCACGGAAGTGACCAGGTAGGGCTCCAAAATACCTGTAAATGCCAGAGCACAGTGTTTGCAGGGACAAAGGGCTGCTTTGTCCCTGGCCTGCCACACAAGAGGTTCTTTCTCTGCTTCAGTTTGGTTCTTCCCTTTTTTCCCCAGTCTTCTGACTGAAGGCTTTGTGTGAGCAGGGTCATACCTGGCTCTTCCTCCCTCTGTGGCCAGGAGCTGATGTTATCTGGGGGAATTTGGCAGTTCCCTGTGCTGCTCTGACGGTTTCTGTCTGCTGTGTTTTGGTGTTTAATGACATCAGAAAATGTGGGGAACCAACCTCTTGGTGCCCCTTCCATGGGCTGCCACAAGGATGAGGCCCCTCAGTAGGAGGAGGGTTAATGGTGCTCTGACAGAGATGGGAAGGGGTAGGGTGAGGCTGAAGGGTCCCAGCAGGACCCTTCAGTGCAATGGATTTTTGGCTTTGGATCCTGAGCTTGAGGATCCAAAGCGAAAGCAATGAGCTTGAGCAGGTGAGCAAGCACCTGAGCAATGAGCAGGGGCTGGCTGTGTGCTGCGGGCAGTGCCCTTCCCTTTCTCTGTGCAGGGAATGGAGCCCAGTTCTAGGGCCAAAGAGGGGCTGGTGAAGGCTGGGGGTCTGCAGTGCCCAGCGGGGAGGGGAGGAGTGCAAATCCCCTGGAGAAAGAGGGAGATGCAGCAAAGCCGGTGGAGCCCGAGCCCCTCCTCTCAACCCATGCAAAATGTGGGGCCAGCCCCAGCCCCTCCAGAGCCTCTTCCCTCTGGAATTTGCATGGCAAACGGGAGAGCGTGGCAGCTCCTGCCCGTGCCACAGCTCCTGCCCGCTGGGAAGCTCCTGCTGAGGAGGGACAGACAGAGGTGGCAGCAGGACCGGGGAACAGGCTCGGGACAGCGCTCTACTGAGCCCAAACCTTCCCCTGGGCTCTTGAAGGCGCTGACTGTGACCCTGGCAGGGACAAACCGCGTCCCGCGTGTGACCCTGGCAGGGACAAACCGCGTCCCGCGTGTGACCCTGGCAGGGACAAACCGCGTCCCGCGTGTGCCCGGGTCCCTGGTGCCTGGGAGCGCCGGGAAGGAGCGCAGGGCAGGGGAACGAGGAGGTTTCCACGGCTGCTGCGGCTCCCGGAGCCTCCCTGCCCGCGGGGCGGCTCTGGCCGGGGCTGGGGAAGGGGAGGCAGGGCTTGGCAGCAGCGCAGCGAGAGGGAGCTGAGGGTGAGGGACGCCGACAGCCTGAGCTGCCTCCTCCGGCCTTTCTGTCCGCTCAGGAAGGAAGGAGGTTATTTTTAAACCCGGGGCCCAGGTACGCAGCGGTACCTAAGGCTTTCCCTCGTGCAAAAGGAATGGGAAGTGATGCAGTGCCAGCCGCTACCCCCACGCTCCCTCCAGAAGGATTTTCTTCCCCAAACCACTCCTCTAGCAAAGCTCGGCACCTCCGACCCAGCTCTAGGCACCAGCTCGGGGCTCATCCCACCCTGCCCCACATCCCACAGGGAGCAGCGCTCATCTCCTTATTTGGGCTGGGTCAGCCATGTGCCCGCAGCCCTGCCGTGTGCCAGCCCTGCCGTGTGCCAGCCCTGCCGTGTGCCAGCCTGCCGTGTGCCAGCCTGCAAACAGAGCCCGGGCTGCAGCCAGCGCCAGGGCACCGCCAGAGCCGCCAGCCCCGAGCAGCCTCACCTGGGGCCAGATCTCGGCCCCGCTCTCCTGCCACAGAGTCACACTGCGGTGACAATGGCACCGTGCTGAGCACGGCCGGAGCCGCTCCAGGCTGGGTCAGGGCAGTCAGA